ACTTTAATTTCTATTATACCTTGGCAAAAACATTTCTGGCTTTGTGAAATCAACACTTGAAAGACAGCCCATATCAATAAAGTAAACACTATATTTCATGACCTATCTAGTTTTTAGTTGCATCGGGAATAGTTCATGTCCCTTAGTTGTGTGTGGCTTTTTTATCTCGCTGAAAATGAAACAAACAATTTCATGATAAAATTTTATGCCCAGAAACAATCTAATCTAAACAAGAGATAATTGTTGCCATATGTTAATGCTATATATATATAGTTGCTTTTTTTTATCTAAACCAGATAGGATTATCTACAGAATGATTGGAGATTATGCAATATTTAAAAAAAAATTACAATTAAATAATAAGAAAATTCAGCATATTTAGACTTTTTGTTGCAGATTTTTTACGCTAAAATTTGTTATGACTAAACTAAATATTACTTTAGTACTTGTAATATTAATACTTATGACACCTGGGGTGATGGTATGTGCAAAGTACTACTTATCTATAATGTAATTTTCGTGTTGAAATAGTTGTAATTTTAAAGACATTTTGGATACATCTAAATTATTACTTAATATAAATAAATGAATATTTGAGTAACAATTTTACTTAAAACTATGTTTTAAGTTGACCAGTTCTGTCATAGGTAAGAATTCGACAATTGCCTGTAGAAGGCTGCTGTCGCTATTACTAAGGCGCTGTAGTGCGGATCTAACCAAGATCCTTCCGCAAAATCTTACATAAAGTAGATGGACACATCCAATTCCTGTGCTCGATGGCGGATGGACTCATTCGGGTCTTCCTCAATGCTACGCTCTACAGTAGCAATAGCTTCTTCTGTACGCACCGTACGGCGTCTCTGGGGATGCGAGTTATCAATTAGAGTAAACGTGGTGCGAAAATGTTCCATGGTTAATCGAATTAACTGCTCTGATGGACGATTTTGTCGACGATAAAATGGACGTAGTGCGCGATACGTATTCCGCACAGAACTATTATTTTCGACATAAAATTGCACAACTTGCAAGCGTTGTTCAGGCGTGAGTCTATTCATGATAGGGATGTGAGAAAATAATTGATTATTAAAAAAAACGATTAAAATGGATTTTTTACGCGATTTTTATATTTAAAATAATCTATTAATAATCGATTATTTTTATAATTGAAAATCAATCATAATCGATTTTTTATCTGCCACCTCCCGACATTGTCTGGTCTTTTATAACCCGGACCTCGAACTATTAGGGATATTCGATAATATACAACGATGTTTACAATGCGATACATTGAATCCGATTCTCGGAAGATGTATTGATATACTCGATACATTGATGTTTTTTTGTAAAGCATCGAAAAAAGTTAAAAAAAGCAAGTTAAGTTAAGTTTTTTTAAGTTATTAAAAGCAGTTAATTTTACAAAAACTCAAGTTTGAATGGAACACTATAATTTGAAAGTAAAATAAAGTTATTCAGCAGCACAAGACTACATATAACTAAAAAGACAACAAAAATACTGCAATGTGCTACTGAAAAGGAATGCACTCAGGATTTATCGAAATCTATCAAAACGAGATTAAGTTAATTTCGATTTTGATTATTCTTTAACGTTAATTTGTGTTTATAATTATTAATTACTATTGTTAATTTTTAATTTAAAAAACCATGAAAAATAAAATATTTAGGGTGTTTATTTTGAAATTAATTCAAAAATTAGGAAAAAATCGATTAATAAAAAAATCTATTATTTTTTTAAGTTAAATCGATTATTTACTAATGAGATAAAATCACTTAGTAGTAGGGTAGGGCGGGGCTAGTTGAGCAATTTTTCACTTGCTTGGATATAGCTCCTCAATGATAAGTCTCAATGAGTTGTTATGTGTCCTGCTGGATTAGTAATTTATCCCTTAACAAAAGTGTCCATAGTATTTTTTTGTAACAAGTCCAATATAATAGCTACAGATGTTTAAATGCAGAAAGTCAAGTATGCTCAATGTACCCCATAGGGGGGGTAAGTTGAGCAAGGGTATGGGGCAAGTTGAGCACTAAGAATGTCTAGGCCAAACCATGGGTTCTATGTTAACTTGAGATGAAATAAAATATGTGTTAGACAGTCAGCTTTTTATTTAGTCTTTTATTGACAGAACAACAAAATTTAAAGAAATTTTCTTTGTATAAGTAACCGAAACTAGAACCAACAAAACATGAGCATCCATATCTATCCATTACTTCCGATAATTTCTAAAAAAAGATTACCAAGGCTGGTGGGTTCTGGTTTTTTATGATGGATAGCTACGATTTTTTTGTTTTTAAAACATCATCAATGATTCTTTTCCGGAAATCTTTTTGCAATTCAGCTTGGTGGAATTTTAGCACACTCTTAGGCAAGGCGACGGACGTCTTTTGGAGAAAAATGCCATTTGCAGCAAGAATTTTTTCAACAGTTCTCTTGTGAGAGAGAATATACTTCCCTCGGTGTTGTATAGCCCATAAATGAATCATCACCTTCATTTAATTTATTTAAAAGTCAACCAATTCAGAATTCTTTAGCGGCGGTATTCACACTTTTTCCCTCATCGTGGACAGCCTTTGCAGCATTATTTAAGTATTCATAATGTAAGAACATCTTGTAGTCTTCCTCTTGTAAGTCCGCATCCAAACAAAAAATAAAAGATTCATTACTCATCAGTTGTTTAAGTCGTAGAGTTAGTTGAGCTATAGTTGCTCAACTTACCCCAACCCGGAATTTTAAAAGAAAAGTAGGATTGTAAATAAATGCCTAGAATTAGACCCAAAACCTATTTACAAATCAAAAATACAATAATCTTCTGAAAGATTAACACTCTCCTGATTGAAAACAGAGAAGATTTGACAAAGACAGACGAAAACTTGCGATAAACAATGTTTTTACTTTTTGGTCACAAAATAAACAAAACGCCGTGACACTTCACTCACTCGTCGAGCTGCCACTAGCTATCGTGCGATGATTACCTCTCCTACCACTCCTTCTTTTCGCTATTTGATACTCCCGCGTAAGGTGAATAGTTTCCGAGATATTTCGATTGCCCAACTTGCCCCTATGCTCAACTAGCCCCGCTCTACCCTAGTAGTAATAAATTTGAGTTAATTTTTATTTTATTTTTACGCCTCCAATTATCGGTTACCGCATCAGCAACACGCTAGCAGCGTTCTATAAGCATTGTTAATATTATAATTTAGGCGCAAAAATAAACACCAACTCGGCTTTAAATATGTTAGGATTACGCAATCGTTGTTTTAGCATAGAGACCTTGGATCTGACATTGTCCGAACTTCGAAGTAGTGAGATTTTTTATTATAAGTCTGTACATGATTGCCCCGTCATTATCATTAGGAAACTTCGACAAAACACAGGTACCTTTTCGGTTTTGAGAGTTCAAGGATATATGACGCGCTTGTAGTAGAAAATTTGTTAAATTACTAGTTTGAATAGTGCCGTATCGTAGACAGGTTCCATACATTTGGTAAGAAATATTTATTGTATAACTGTGGTAACGAAATTTCAATTTCATGAACATTTATCAAAAAATTATTTTTAAATGAATCGTTGATAACTTACTGGCAATTTCGTATGTTTGTTCTAAACGAGGAACATCACCGTTTGTAATATTTTAATCTTCTAACCTGGTCATAAAAACTAAAGCAAGTTCTATCATTCAGTTTTTTTTCAAGTTATTTAGTAAGCGATAGATGCAAACTTTATATATGCTTAAAGGGAGTGTTAAGAAGATCATAGCTAAATAACCTGCATCATGAGCACACCCTACATACACACCCTCGCGTACATACCTTTAGTCCTTTACTTTAACACCACACAACACAGCCGAATTAGGTTTTAATATTGCTTTTTGCTTTTTTCCTTTCGTTCAACCTTATATAATTATAATGTATTCCATCTTTGGCTATATCTTTAGTATAATTATTTTTTGTCATATATTTAAGAAAAATATAGTAATAACGCCTTTAGTACACCTACGCGTTCGTATGCGGCTGCGAGTCTTTGCGAAATAATTGCGGTAGCGAAATATCTGCGGAACGTTAGTACACTGCAGTTTTTTCGCAAGGAAATGTCATTGTAGCTTTATTTCTTACCATCTATCCCCGTCTTTTCTTGAATTTTCCTCCATGCCACCTCTTTTTTGTATGCATTTTTGTAATTAACATGCCCAACTAAATATAATTCGGGATAATTTCGAATCAAATTTAATAATAATTCAATATTTTCGGCTTCCATTGGGCGAAATTCTGTCCTCACTGACAGAACGCGTGGTGACGCATTGCGATGCGAAACTCCGCTAGCGAAACGGCTGCGTCTGTGTAACAGCCATTTCGCAGTTACTTGCGAAACAATACCGACAAGGACGCAACTATTTCATCTAGCTATATAATAGAGCGAGACAAAACACATGCGAAACGTTGCCATACAACTTACAGTTTTTTCGTCGTTTCGCTGCCGCATGCGATTGCGTAGGTGTACTAAAGGCGTAAAAATTAAAAAAAAAAACCATTGCTGTTAAACGAAGTTTTTCCGGCCTTGACCTTCATTTAAGTGTATTAAATTGTCTGTTTTAATGCCATAGTTTCACAACGTAGGTGGAATATGGTACATATTTTATCATTCATTGTTCTCATGGTCTGCAAATAATGGGCGCTTGTATTCCTTAAACAAATGCTTATACAAAGAGATAAAGTGCACACGTATTATATACATAACATCTTTACCTAAAGTTTACATTGAGTTGCGTGAAGTAGGTGAAAATTAATAGGAATAAGTACAAAATTAAAAAAGACTTCGTTCTATATTTTAGATTTTTCCGCGATTCGAATATATTGCCATGAAAAGTAAACAGATAAAAATACCATTACGTACTTAATTACGCAACCTAATATGTGTCATATAAGTATTGGTTCTGGGAGATATGAAATGTTATAATAATCGATAAATTTGTGTAATATCTTTCAGGATGCTTGTTCGAGTATCACTTCGCTGCTTGAAGCTAGCAGATACACTTACTTCAATTGGCAAAGCAGGTCTATACAGCTCAATGGCTTCGATGGAACGTAACCACAATTTCTTCTTTAGACAGGTATTTATAAAAGGATTTTACTCTTAAGGTTTTTAATTTCATAGAGTTTCATAGAATTTAGTTTCAGAATTTTCAATTGGAGGAGTGTAATAAAAATTAATTGACTACTGCAAATATTAATATTATTTTTATTATATTTAAATTAAAGACTTTAATACTGTATTATATTTTATTTATTGAATATGATGTCTATCAGTTTGGTGACAATAGTGACATTATTTTTCTTAGTGTCTCTCTATATTTAGAATACTTAATAGTTATGGGATAAATTAAATTCTAACGAAAGGTTTACAATACACGTGATGACGTTTATATTTAAAGCCTCCAGTCTATGTAACATAATAAATATAATGTAAATGATTTTTTTATATCTTAAGTGAGTATAAAAAAATCTTTAAAATAACAATATTTTAATATAACTATTTAAGTTAATACAAAACTTTAAATTGGCTAAATTTAAATAAATAAGTGAATTTAAAAAAATTTAAACACATTAATAATTTCTACTTGTTAAATAAATATTTTATAAATTATATGTCAACCAACAACATTTAATGTTATATTTGGTACGTGAAAATCATCTATTATTTAACAAGTCCTTATAATTTTCTTAAAGGTTTGTCACGTTTTCATGGCCATTAGTTTTTTATTTATTCCAAACTGGGACTGAAACTTTATGAATTTCCCAAGAAACTTTCATCGTTATAGTATTGTCTTTGATTAACATAACTTTTATTCATTTAATAAAACACTATTTTGACCGGATTGAAGTTATGTATTATTATAAATTTACAACTATTTAACATAATTTTAAATTTATCCGACGTTTCGCGTGCTTTACAGCGTGCGTGGTCACGGTGACTCACCGTCAAAATAGTGTTTTATTAAATTTCATCGTTATTTCATTAGATATACATTATACATATATGATTTCCAGATTGTAACAATTTTTATAGTACTAAAGCTAATCAGTTTTGCTTTTTTTTTCTGTTAAATTTTTAGCTTTTAATTCAATTGTTGCTTGTATTATGTTGGAAACGTGGACAATCTTCAGAAAAAGAATTTGATGTTTTTGGGACCAATAATACTCAGTCCATTTTTTGATATAATTAGAGAAATCAGAAAATCATTCTCATCTTTAGAGAAACTACTTTTTTGCAACAAATTATAAATTTTGTTTGTTTAAACCGAAAACGAATAGTCATCATCACACATCATGTTAGGTGTGTTAATATTATTATAATGTCGGGTTTGGATTTTTTACCTTAACAATTTGTCAGAGACCAATTAATATGAATTTAAGATAAGTCCTATATTTAATTAAGATCTTTCAACAAGCAAGTAGATAATAAGCTTTTTAAATGGAGATTTTTATTGAACCGGGATTCAAACTAGAAGAATTTTTATAACTACAAGTGGCAATACTTCTTTTTTTTCTTTAGTCGCGTTCTAACTGAAGATCGCGTGGTGTTACATAACTCCCTCCATTCTGTACATAGCGCCTGTTTTCCTTCTTCCTGTTCACCTTTACTTGGTCGGTCTAGCGTGCCAGTCGGTCCTATGCCTTTCACTCTACCTTCTACAGTAGTGTATAGTAACAAGATATTTCAATAATAAAAATTAGCAGGTTATTATTACTCTTCATTAGTCATTTTGTGAAGAATGTTATAATTATGCCATGTCATGTAGGCTTGGCCCTTATCGATTCCCACGAAATAAAATGATAATAATCTCTTTGATAGCCATAATAGACTGCTCATTTACTTCTAATAAAAGTTCTTATTTATTCTTCACCCCCACCTGGGTGGTTAGACCGTACAGTCAATACTCACATACATACGTTGCTATTTCTATTACAATTGTATGACATACACAATATGGTGATTAGCTATTCCCTTGTCCGTCGTGTGTTTTAGCCTCTTAGGGTGAGATTCAGAATCCTATACGTTTTTGATATACCGGAGTGAGATTTATATCTCGTGTCTGAATCTTACTTTTATATAGGAAGCAGTGGCGTGACTATACCATCTGGGGCCCGTAGCAAATTCTTTTGATGGGGCCCTATCAGTAAGATCGTCATGTTGTACTCAGTTTAATTTTAATAAAGTTCGTGATATTCAGCGTATTCAATTACACGTTGTATATGTCCCACTAGTGGCCATAGGCCTCCTCTCTTAGCCGAGAGTGAATGGTCTGTAGTCTCCATGCTAGCCCAATGCGTATTGGAGACTTCAGATTCATCCATAGAACATAATATCTCTTGGGTCGGAGACCCGTGGCATATTAACAGCCCTGCCACTCTATTGCTACGCCACTGATAGAAAGCCTAAAGCGAATGGTTGTCAACTGCACCTAACTTCTATATAATCTATTTTATCTCATTGTTTTCATCATTATGACAACTTTATCTAACGAGTTGTTTGTCATGTATTGATTTTAATGTGCAATCTTTAGTTTTATCGCAGATGCAAAGGCTTCCAAAGTCATTGAGGTTAAGATTTCTCTCACATCAAATGCACTAAAAATATATATTCCGTTCCAATGCTAACATCGTATTCTAAAGGCCTTAGTTATCTTTGTCTCGTCTTGGCTGAATATTTGTCAGAGGATTTAATGAATAATAAAAGTTATTCATACGTGTAAGCTACGTGTAAAATTATATGATGCAATAGATAGAATGATAACTGACTCACTACGTAAATAATATTAATTAATACCAGTATTGGTCTTCGGATTTCGGTATGATCATTTTTATTATTAGGCATATTAGTCAGGATTTTTGGGCGATTTTTGGATCATGATGTTTCTTTCGTCGCACCAGCTATAGTGTTAAAAGCGTACATACAAAAGTTAATTGGTACACAGCTGTAATCTGTTAGCTTGATACTCGGTAAAAAATAGTCCATAAAAAAATCTTTACCAGATTTAGACCCTACTTTGTAACCTTTGAATACGTAATAAAACATTGGCTTGTTAGGAGGTATTACTTGCGATATACGAATATTTGCAGGAATAATTGAATACCTCATTAATAATTAAGCTTAAACAAATATATGTAAAGGTTAGGTTGATAAAATATGACCGCTCCTATTCACAAACATAATTTATAACAATCTCGCTTACTGGGGGCCTACCATGAACTTTCTTAAAACAATCCAGTTGAGATGCAGTTAAGTTTAGGTACCTAAAGTAAATATCATTTTTTTCGTACCATGACCGCCTATAAGCTGAAACGTATTGGCATCGTAAAACCGAATGAAAGAACGATAATTTTGTTTTGAGGTTTCTATGTAAGTTTTGAAATTTAACTGTCAAACTTGCTTCGACAGATGTTTCTATACACATAGTTTGAAGGCGCAACGGCTAAATTTTGGTTCAGCCGAGCGGTCATGGTACGAATTTTCATACAAATTGAACGAACGAAATCTGATTACCGCTAAGGTCACGTGGGAACATAAATTGTCTCGTTTTTCCGATGTCATGGTAAGAATAAGCGATGCATCTCAGTTGTAGGTTGTCAATAGGCTCGCAATAACAGCTCATGGCCCTCAGGCCTTTAAAAAGGAGCAGTATTGGAACTAGTGGCTTTGACGCATGCGTTCGAATCATGGCCGTGGAGTAATAGTTTTTTTAAACTTTTTCAAATGAAAACTTCGTTGTGAAACCGGCATGTGTCTAGACTTAGAATGTAATAAGAAAGCATATATCAATCTCTACTAAAGATATAGTTAATTTTGATTCTGATTTGGGTGTGATTTATATTAAACTTATGATGTCGTAACTTGATTAATTTTATATTAAAAACTTTCAGCTTTTCGACCATGAAAGTAGTACCTACACATACCTTCTAGGAGACACCTCCAATAAAGAGGCAGTGCTCATTGATCCTGTATATGAACATGCTGAGAGAGACGCGAACCTTATCAAGGAATTGGGATTCAAACTTGTCTATGCCAGTAAGTATTTCGCAAATAGTAATTTGGACGAAAATTTTTTGAAGTGAAACGTAAAATTTTTTAAAAACGTCACGAAGATGTGCAGCGTTTTTGTCGAAGAAAAGGGAGAGAGCGATTGAGACCGATTGAGAGAGAGAGAGAAAGAGTGAAAAGAGCGAATTACCTTTTAGAAATTAAATTTATTATTTGTTTTAATTAAAAAAATATATTATTATTTGTTTTAATTAAAACAATTAAATATATTATTTGAATTAATTTTCAACACTTTTAATATTTTAATGACAATAAAATTCTTTAAATTCCTAACATCTTCCTTTTTCCCTCCCATTAAGTCTCAGAAATCTTAAGTTTTAGATTCGTATAAATATGAACAAGAGTTAATAGTATATTTCATTACAAGTGCGGAAAGCCTGTCATTGCAAAGAGTTTCGACAAATGTCTACCCGAGCCGAGGCGCAGCCGAAGGTGAGGGTTGACAGTCGGAACAAGTTGCAATGACGGTTCCGCACGTGTACTGAACAACTATTTTTAATACAGTTGCGAAAAAATTATGCAATTTAATAAAATAATAAAAAAACAATAAACTCAACTCACTAATCATTTATTTCTTATACAAATTATTGTTCACATATACATTGGTACAGTTTTTTATACTAACTGGAGAAGTTTTAGGTTGCATATTTATTTACTGTTTAAGACAAACTATTATTTATTTCGTATGATTTTTCATGTATATTTAATATATAATATAACAAACAACTAAACGCTTAAAGAACATTTTTGGAAAATGGCGCCAACCGTAAAAGAATATAACCAGATATTTGTTTTTCTTCACCCATTCTGGGTAGGCAAAGGGAACTATGCCCATACAGCCAAGTCTTCAGTACAATTTTTTATTGATATGAAATGAAATGAAATCTAACCTAACTCATTGAATCAAATCATTAAATCTTATATTGAAACAAAGCAGTAGCTTCTTTTTAGAAATATTTGCATGAATCATAAAAATTTCTATGATTTTTTTTAGTAAAAACTTCGTGGTTGGTTTTTTCTTTTTAATAGACATTATTTTGACAGTTGGGAAAGAAAACGCACTAGTTCGGAAAAGGTAAAAAAAAAGCACGAGTGTGTAATAGCCCACGTCCCGAACGCTATACGTCCCTGCAATACGCCACTTTTTGAGCAACTGTATTAAAAAAGAAGTTTCACTTCTGACATGTGTACTTTGTACGCACTCAGTTTTATTTCTATATTTTCTAGAATATAAGTTATGATGTAATTGATTTTTGCAATGTCATTTCCGATTATGATATATCATATCATCAAGACGTACATAATAACAAATGATATAACACCTGTTAAATTGTTTATACCTAAGTCATTAATCAATATGTTTTATCTGTCTTTGATTAATATTCTATAATCCTTGTTACCAACTCTTGCAACAATTGTCGATTATCGCGTATTAGATCATTTTTATTTATGATCTAAGTATCGTAAAACAAATGGTTCTAATCAAACGATTATGTGATAATACATATGATTGCGAAAAATCCAAGAAAGAGCTAAATTGTTTATGAACAAAATTACAAGCTTTTTGCAGCGTTGATTAGGGCGTACCTTTATAATTATTTTTTAATTAGATTAAAACATTAGGTTTCCATTTACATGGTCGTTTGTAGAATTGTTAGGGATTGATTAATTGTCGCGACAATGTATATATGTGTGTGCGTGTGTTTGTAATTAGCTGCTTAATTACACCTCCTAAACTGGAGAGATTTCAATGTAATTTTTGTGTGTGGATTCGGGAATAGTTTAGACTTGCCATTAGTTTTTTTTGTATCAAGACAGGACAGGAAAACGTTTCTCGAGTTTCATTTTCGAGTTATAGAGTTTCATATAAAGATTGACTAGGTCGACATTGCTATTTATCTCTGACGTTTTGACTGACTCTTAAGTTATATTCTCTATGCTTAAGATTTATACCATTTATTTTAAAGAAATTAATCAATCCAAATTGCACTTAAAAGGTTTAAGTAACAATATTTCTTATTTCTAAGGACGGGGGCCTTATATTTTGGCTTTTGTTTGAAGTCGGTTAAGAATTATGATGTATATTCAAATATAATACAAGCCGCAAAATTTGTTTCGTCCTAATATGATTCTATTTATTATTTGACTACCTATATTTTATTTAGACTACCAATTTTAGTTGCTACCAATATATGGAACATTGCTATCTTACTCCATAGAGACTGTTCACGTTCACAATTATTACAGAAAAAGAAAACTGGTTATTATGTATTTCCGTGCAATTTTTCTCTCCATAAAAACCTTCTTTAGTGTTCAAGGGATAAATAAAATTACTCGAATTGGTCCTTCGGAATTGCGATTCATTTTCATTAACATTCTCCATATATCAATATTTTTCAGTGAACACACACATGCACGCCGATCACATAACTGGTACGGGCAAGCTCAAATCGCTTCTCCCTGGGACTAAAAGTGTGATTGGCAAAGGATCTGGTGCCCTAGCTGATATCTATTTGAAAGATGGCGATGTAGTTCGCTTCGGTAGTCATCAGCTGTGGGCTGCAGCAACACCTGGACACACGAATGGCTGTTTCACATATATTAGCCATGAACAGGTAATGTTTAATGATTTTTATTTAACGACACAGTAGTATAGTCTAATTAAAAGAATATATAAAAATAATAGTTTAGCTTTGGTTGTTGACCAGAAGAATCGAACCGACTAGAAAACCTAAGCTTTAGGGTTGGTGTACAGATACATTTAAATAAATGGCCGTACTCATTACAGATTAACGATCAAACATTGACTGCATGTCTGTGTCATGTTTAAACGTCATCTTTACGTCTAATACTTTTTCATACAAACAATACTTTTGGCTTAGCACGGTCATGGTATGAAAGGATTTTAAAGGCCGGCAACGTACTTGCGAGCCTTGCAATGTGAGTGTCCATGGGTGGCGGTACTTAACATCAGATGAGCGTTGTGATCCTGTTACATAAAAAAAATATTTTAATGAGACGGTATTACTATTTTTTGTGTAAAATGAAATTATCAATTTCTAAAGTAATTTAAAATCGGACCATGTTCAAATTCAAGATAATCGTAAAGAAATTTATCGATAAATTTATCATTATCGTAATAATTATGTAAACAATTACTCTTTATAATATTGCATAATATTTATTACATGGAAATGTGTCTATTTCATATATTATTAAATCAGCCAAATATTGACGTTTTCTCACGAATTAAGATCATATTCTGTGTATAAACTAGCTGATATCTGCGTTAAATTACCTATATTTGACGGTTACGAACACCAACGAGATTTTTTTATAGTTTTGATAAATAATAAAATGAAATATGTTTATTCTTTACAATGTGTAAGATTTGGGAACCCTTTTAAGTAAAGAACTTGTGGTTGTCCCTGAGTGCCACAAGTTTTTTGTCCCGCTCTAACGCGTATTGGCCGCACCTATATTATGTCATCGTGTGTTAGGTTTCTATTTTCGTTACGAAATGTCTTGATTCGGTCGCCGCTCTCCAAGCCCGCGATAAGATCTATGCAATGGCTTAAAAAATACCTGTGTCGGGGTTCCCAGCTCTTCCATTTAAACTTAATACTTAATTCCATAATAGACGCGTGAGTGTGTGGGTGCATGTGAGTGAATGAGTGAGTGTAATGTCTATGTAACTATATGTTAGGTCTCAGTAGCATTTCCAACACAGCGTAAAGAGTTTTATGTAGTCTCCAAATGATTTATGTATTGCGTCTTTTTGAGACGGCTTGAAAGACTTTTTATCAAATATATTCAAATTTTCAGTGTATGGCCTTCACCGGTGACGCCCTCCTGATCCGCGGTTGCGGCCGAACGGATTTCCAAGAAGGCAGTTCAGAAACACTCTATAAGTCGGTCCACGATAGAATATTCACACTGCCCGACCATTTCATATTGTACCCGGCGCACGATTACAAAGGCCTTACTTCAACATCTGTGGGTGAGGAGAAGAAATACAACCCAAGACTGACAAAACCGTTAGATGAGTTTGTTAAAATCATGGAAGGCCTGAATTTACCATACCCAAAGAAAATTGGTAAGGTCTTTGATTCTATTTCGAGATATATTTAAGTTACCTAATAGAATTTTTGGGTAAAGATTTCGGTTTTGGAATAAAATGATGACTTTTCTTCCATAGAAGTAGTAGTTAGTAGTACTAGTTTTACTTATCGAAATGTTAGAACAATTTTATTCTAATTTTATAATTAAAAATATAAAAAAAATTAAATTCAAATTTCCAAAAAGAAACAGTTGGTGAATTGGAGAGTGACGTCACCGTTCTCAAGGCCTCCAACGCAGTCTCAGATCATAAAAGCTTACCAAAGACTAGAGCTTTCTATTTATGTTGTTTTCCTTAGAGTAGTAAGTAATTTTTTTTTGTAATTAGCAAAAGTATCGTGCAATATTAAAAAGGTATATATTTTATAAACATTTAGCTCATTTCTATTTGTTATTCATAAGCACACTTACAATATACGTACACAGATTACATACAACTATGCATGACATAGACAAAAATTTCTGATGTGTAAACCAAAGAGAATTTTATGCGTAAACTTAACGAAATTACGTCGCGCCGTGCAATATCTATAATTTGTATTTTTTCATATGTTAATTTCATTTAATATTTAATTTATTTGTTATATTCTAAAAAGGTGTTACTGAAAAACATGACCAATAAATTTCATCGAATAAATATCTCTATTAATAGTTGTGGTGTCTTGAAATGGAACGACCATTTCGACCGTCATAACCAGCCAATCAGAGCTTCGTCTACTCAAAGGAATTCTGTGATTGGTCCATGCGTTATTTCTATAATTCCTTGATTTTATCTTCGCCTTCTATAACTGATTAAGATTAGCCCTATTTTATCTAGCATTTTAATGAATCGAGCAACAACTCAATTATCGTTTCTAGTTATTTTTGGTAAATTTGAAAGATACACAAGAAAACAAGCTGTATTTGTCAGAGCTTGAGAACGTTGACGTTACGAGCGCGCCAAAATGGCGGTGTCACCCGAAATTGAAGGCAATTTTAAATATTATATGTTGAACATAATAATTTTCTGAATGCTAAACATATTATATGTATGTCGTTAATGATAGAGAAGTTGAAGAATGACAAATAAGTAATCACTGATGAGCTTCGCATTGTGAGAACAAAAATTACGCTAGATGGCGCTATATACAATCACTAATGTATTCTTATTTCTTCTACAGATGAATCCCTGCCTGCAAACAGAGTCTGTGGTGTTTTCTAAAGAGATTTTATATACAATATAAAGGTTAAGATATACGAACCCTAAAACTATTTGAATATTTATCTTGTAAAGTAGAAATTGTGATCAATACGCTGTGAAAAAGTAGATTAAAATGTTTAAAAGTTTACTAGATTGCTACGTTTATTTTATATTGTTCATTGTACAGTAGCTCAAATTAGCCATAAGTGTAATCACAAAACAACATTGTTTTAATTATTTTTTTATAGAAATACTTATCAATAATGTATGTTTCAATAAATATATTCAGTTAATGTTGTATTATTAAAATTACTTTAAAATCTAAATTGCATTTCATAACATTAATTTTAGAACGAACAATTAGTTCCTATTACATGGCTTCAACATGCAACTCTCATCCCTGAGGTCGTAGGTTCGATCCCCGGCTGTGCACCAATGAACTTTCTGTCTATGTGTGACTTGGGGGAGATAATAAATATAAAATATAAGAATAAAGGGGCTGAACCTACTTTTCTATTAAATAAAAAATGATCGGATGCAATCAGAGGCCACTGGATTATTATTATTTATTATTATGTACTAGTATAATAATAATAGTTACTTTTATTAATTTGTTAAATGGCTAAAGAGATAAAGTAACCTTTATTCATAACTAATTCAGTCTTATTGTGTTTTAAAATGTTTTTTGTCAAATGGGGTTCACGCTGTGATATAGAGACGGTGAGTACTTTAGTTATTACGGTGAGTACTTTACTAGATGGCGCTTTTTTTTAAATAATTTTGTAACAATGTTAGTTGCATAATATATAAGCTATTTATACTTGAATTCGAGTATTCGTTATAGGGATGTAACTTAAAGTGGGCAATTTTGCTGTGCAGGAGGAGAGTTGTAGATTGAAGGAATTCATGAGGAAAAATAACATGATACGAAAAAACGAAATATATAAACAACGCTAACATTATTTCGTACAAGAGATTTCTCCTACAGTTGTCCGCAAGAGTCACGGTATCAAATAACATCAATAATAAAGTAAATAACAACAGTTACTAAGGTCATTATATACGAAAGAAGTAACAAAGTATTTTAGCTTAACAGTATATTTAACTAAACTTAGCTTAAGATGTAGAAGACCGATTTTGCGAGTATCAGCCACAGGTTGCGGTTGCTGTACTAATATTTTATATAATTAATATTTAATATATATATATATCAGTTTTATATAGTCATGAACTATACAACATATTCAAATCCTGTGTAGCATATCTGACTTCTTGGCCAGCTGTGACGCTATTAATACGAATCTTTCTACAAGAACCATTAAATATTATTAATTCGACGGAGTTATGTATGAAACTGTAAATATGATAATCAAATTACTGTAATTAAAATAATATTTGACAAAAATAATAACGTTAGAAAATTGTAAATACAAATTATACGTATGTAGCATGATTAAATAAATTATATTTGACATAAAAATTACGTAAGAAATTTTATACACACGAATTGACTTGAGGACCCAGGCCGAGGTCAGAGTCTGGTTGGAGACGTCCTTGCGCTAGTCGTGAGAAAAGCCCATTCCTCGCCAAAACAGACCGAGCGTCAAGGAACTTCTGGCCTAACAGCGAGATACCAATAAAAAAAAATAGCTGGGCGTTCGGGCCTGTCAGTGGTTTTTTTTTATAGAACAGGGGGCATTGGAGCAGGAGCATCTGATGTTAAGTGATACACTCAATTCCATAGTTCACGCGAGTGCGTTGCCGGTCTTTTACGAATTGGTACCTAGTACCTACGCTCTTTTCTTGAAGGAAAGAAACTGAGACTGCTCTTCCTTCATCCACATTTAATTAACGGAAGAATAACACTAATTATTTGATTTTGTTTTTGTATTTAAACACTCCAAATACTCGGGAAAAATCTCTCCCTTAACACATTAAATATTTCTCTATAAGTTTCTCAGAATCCTACAAAATCGAGCTGCAACTTAGAATTAAGTTTTAACTTATTCCAAAGCCACTGAACAAACTTTGAGGGCTGAGAAAGCTAATGTAGTTTTGATATTGTTTCCTCACTGTTTTAAGCCATTACATCATGCGTCTTAACCATGGCTCAAATACAACTTTTTAAGGATTTATTACCTACCTGTAAGGCTCCGTTTGTTACCTTAGGCCTCTTGATGGAGATATCCCGTACTTAGTTATATATTCACTACTTATCTGTTAGTACCTACATCTGTAGGGCTTAGGAATCCGTAGGGTTGTTAGGTTCTTAGTTCTAACCCTTTCATATATTTAGTTATCCATACAGCTTAACATATAATATAGTTTACTATACAGATACGTATCTATATATATATATATATATATAATTCTAGTGTACGTATGTCACTGAACTCCTCTTAAAAGGCTGGACCGATTAAATTGAATTTTGTTTGTATGCGAAACGCATACACCTAAACAGGTGGCGCCTTAGATGGTTTAGATTCACAAATCAGCCCGGCAGATGGCACTGGTTTGCAACAAATAAACAGCTGGTATATAAATATGTAAATATTCTGTTTATGTGTTCGTAATTAAACTCCTAAACGGCTGGACAGATTTTGATGAATTTTTCTGAGTGTTCAAGTGGAGTCGAGAATGATTTACATTATTAGATATTTTCTTTACTGGACAACGTCTGTTGGATCCGCTAATTACATATAAATTTAAATAGACATCTCACAGTCCACTCACTGGCTGTAAATTAACAACAATTGTAACAACTTGATTTAGTTCAAGAAATTAATAAATTAAATTAACGTATTTTAATTATCCTAAATACCTGAAACCTCAAGTCAATGTAAATTTATGTATTGAAGAGTACTCTGTTCACGTTGACTACAATTATCGGTTTACACGATTGAAATTTGAAACCATTCTAATTTATTAAAAAAATATTCTTTTTTAGTATCCTTATTATTACTTAAACATGTAAAATTGGGTTTAACTAAGAAATTATTTACAAATTAATGAGTTAAAAAATACAAACAATACAAAAACGAAACGGAAACATTAAACAAATTATGTTACAATTACAGTCCAATTTAATTATAGCGCAAAGAAAATTTAACTACGCATAAACTTACGTGTCTTGATTGACATACTTATATATGAAAAGAAAAGGAATACAATTATATTTTTTTTACAAATTAAAATAGTATTTGAAAAAATACTTTTAATCAGTACTATTGTGCGACTATGGCAGCACACACTTAAATATAAGTCATAAAATCGATTTTATTTTAACGTAGTCAAACCTAGTGATGTATTATGCTTATCGCGTTCAGGGCTAGCCAAGATGGCTTAACAGTAGTGTATGTAGAAAGTCGAAAACTAAATTTGTATGAAAATGACAGCTCGTGTCGACAGTCGGTAGCCTAGGCCCTAAAGGCGTGAGTCGGGATACAATAAGCGACGCCATGACAGTGCTACGAAAAGACACACATTAACGCTGACGCTATTCGGTAGCCAACGGCCAATTAATGTTTCGGCAGTGTAGAAAAAACGGCGTTTCTCCGCCATGTTTTAGCGTTATCTCAAAAGCTGCTGTTTGCAATAATTCAGTACAACTATTGCCATCTTTAATGGCTACCGTTTTAAAACATGTCATATTTTGGAGGTTTTAACGAAATGGTTTTAATTTGTTATCTGTCTTTTTTTAACGTTCTCGTGTAATTATAATAATTTAATAAATTTAAACTAGAGTTAATATTTTTAAGTTAAGAGTTTTAGTTTTTCTATGAATCAATGCGAGGATAACATAATAGACACAGATAAATATGAAAATATCAAGATAATCAGCTAATTAGTAGAGGTAAATCCTAGTTATATTGGATATCTTTTATTGATATTTATATTGCATGTAAGTTCATGAAATTGTTCTTTAATTTGAAAAATACATATACCATTTAATATTGCATATATTATGTAATCACAAAGTAAAATGATTGTACATTTTATTTGTATATTTCAGATGAGAAAGCAGTCACTAATGAACATAATTAGAAGTTCTAAATATATTTAATTGTAATTATAATAGAAGCTGATAATGATATAATATTGATTTAAATTAATCAAATAAAGTGGATTTATACTTTATGAACTTTGGAAATATAAAATCTAGTGAGCAATACTAAGTACCTAATGGTAAGCAGATATTTTCTTTAATTATTTACTAAGTCAATATACTAGAGAAGTTATTATAATATTGTTAATGAATGAGAAGTTTGAATTCAAGTCCCTTGGGAGTTACTGACATTGTTTGGTTATTAAACTTTAATTGACAATAAGCAGCAAAGTGACAAATTAAGTATATTTTTAAGTTTAGAATTAAGTAAAGAGTTTTAATATTAAAGTTACCTATTGAACAAACCTTGGACCGATCTTAGTTTAGTTTGTCAGTTTTCTATTTGATCAAAGTACTAACTAAAACATTTTCTTTTCAGAAAAAGAGAAGCTAATAAGACAACTAAAAATATTTAAAAAAACCACAAATGGACAAGTTTTATTAGTCTTATCTTTTAATTAATTTAAGTGTTATATTATGTACCAGAAAATGGGGAATGAAGCATTTTATGAATAATGTAAAAATAAGACAAGTGGAGTATGAAATAATGGTTGGTTAAGTAACATTACCTCATGAACAGAAAACGGTAACTGAAACTATGTTCTTCCACATTTAATCTTAATAAATTCAGCAGTTTGAATGTTAATGAGATATTATTATAAACAAACTGGATTTGTAGATTTTGGGAAGAATTATATCTTTAAAAAAACTATTATTATTTACAATTGTTGTGTTAAGGAAACAATCACTGTTTTTTTAATCGCCCAGTATGTATTCATAGTAACTGTAGGTATCATAGTAATTTCATGAAATCATCACAATATCTAACGTTAGGTTTTATGAATTGAACAATTTTTTGTATATAACAGCACACAAACAAGATATTGACTTTGCTGCAAATTAACACTTACATTTATTAGTTAATTATCTACATATATAAATATGAATAATTGAATACATCCACATTAGGTAGTAATGCATTGAATTTGGTGCACCTGTGTGTGTTCAGTAGTAATGTCTGTATTGTTTAACAAGTTGTTATATATGCTTATTTTTCTATGTAGACTGCATTATATTAAGGAAGATATTTGGTGCCTTATTTTAATAAAAAATAACCATAACTGAAACATTTTTATTTTGCTACCTATTTGTTTAATATTCCTAACTATTAGTAGGTACGGGTCATTCATATATGCATTATCTGTATATTCTTGTAAAATAAACTAATATTATTAACCACTTTAATGGCTTTTCCTACTAAAGAAGACATAGGTAAATTACCAAAAATAAAACTGACAAATACATAACATACAATGTTTATTCATTTCTTACTTAAACAGATTTTGCATTTACATATTAACTAGTAGCAAATCACTGATATAACCAAAAGTTAATTGACATAAATATTAACTTAAAATCAGCATCAAACTTAAATTTATATCTAAGATGTTAGAGCATCAATATGGAATCAAAGGTTGAGTAAGGCTTATAATTTCATACCAGACTAAGTTTCTATTTTATAATTTTTATTAATCCCTCTCTTCATTTCATTGAGTACTTGCTGCTTTTCAATTCTCACTTTCTAAAAGTATAAATTTATTATAAACAATCAACCTTAATGACTCTAACTAAAACTAAAATTGTTTGTTGGACATAAACAGAGATAATTCCAACTAGTAGCAAATCACTAATAAAATCTACACTTATATAAAAATCTGCTTTCAAATTGACATTAAAAATGTTCAAGCACAAACACCAAACCTAATTAAAGCTTAAATCAAACTCTAATTTCAGTGTTCACACTAGTCTACGTTTTTTTTCTATTGTTTTTTAATTTCTTGGACTATCCTTCTATTCCTTATCAACTTCTAGTCAACCTTATTTTCACTCTTTATTTATCAATTATTATAATTTAATTACCACAGTACTATTTCTATTGTTTCTTCTAAGCGGTAACAAAATATGTTGCTTCTTCATTTTGCAGATTAGTTGTGAGGTCAAATCCTAAAAATATCAAAGTATGAGTACTACTAATTATTATATATCGTGATTATGCAATTTCAAAATATTGTATTTATTTGTAGCCTTAAATTTCTGAGAAAACATGAAACAAACCATAAGTAATTAAACATGCAATTAAAATTCATATATTCACTTTACACCTTCAGTAAATTCCACTTAAATCGAAAATTGTTCCGACCTTGCTGACATTCTAATGTCCCTTTTGCAGCTTCCAATAATTGGAATTTGCAATTATTGCAAATTAACAATAATATTGTAGTTTTAACTTTTATTTGTTTATAAAAGTGACATTAGGAATACATTTAATCCAGAGACAATATTATGACGGAATAAGGTGCTACGAACAGCAGTTCGCATCTACGCTGTCGACTTTGCGGTAATGTATCGACATGCCTCTTGGCTACGAACGAAGCGTTTTCGACAGTACAATTACGCAAAAGCGGTAGTGTATGTAGAATACTTTTCGACACCAATATGGCTAGACCCCCAGGGCTAGCTTGACATTTGCCAATGCCATACCCTTAGGGAGGGGAACTCAATGCCAACGATAAAGTACAGGGGTGAGTTATTAATGAGGTTTTATTTGGGAGTAAAGAAAATGCCTACTTATTTTACTATACGCAAATTGCCTTAACGGGTATTACATAATTGGGTTTAATTAAAAGTAATGAATGTCTTTTATGAAAATTTGAATATTTTATTTCCTTACATATAAGTTGGGGCATGGTCTTGGTGGGAGTCGCTGACAGAGTAAAGTTAGGCTTAGAAAAAGCCAAATAAATATCCATCTGCTGTAACAGAACCACGGCCAGTACGCGTCATCCACGTCGTCCAGCCTGGGACCTGCTGCAGCCACGCCCACACGCCCCCACTACCTGAGCTGTGAATGCTGAGCTTACTAGCTCTTGTACTCAATAATGTGAGATGTAGATACTTATCGAAGGTGTTGGATGTAGACAGGTGAGTAACCAAGAGCCACTGCATCATGTATGTGCCTTTGCATTTGGAGAGAAACGGTTTGCCGCTGAAGACCGCAGATTGTAGGGGGCCCATTTAATGAGTCAACCACTACACCGCCTCGGTTGGGGACTGGAGAAAAGGAGCTCTAGAAGTATAGCTCACGAATATCCGAAGTATGAACTTAAATCATCAAGCAGTGCATCATCACCTTGAGACTGCTGCAAGAGAACGTGTTTGTTGGCATTTTAATCACTACAAAAGTGGTAAAGAAATAAATCAGACGAGTTCCACAGATAGAGGGCATTAGATAGAAGTACTATTAAAAGTAATATTGGTTTGTCGGCATTTGGTATTGCGTCGATACAGCCATGAGGCGTCGATTGTCGGATGTCTAGTGATCGTGACGTCACTCGCCTCATGCAACGGCCGCATAGTAAAGCAGGGAGTGTAGCTTTATATTGCTTTAGATTAACGCAGTTTCGTTACCATTGATGTTGGAACGCAGTCTTAGGAACTTATTGTTTAAACAAACAAATATAATACAAAAATACATGAAAAAGTGAAGTTAGGATTGTCGAAGAAGAATGTTGAACAGTTCCTCCGACCTTCGGACTACCCTCGACCAGTTTAACCACCGGCTAAATTGTATATAACCTTAGCGGTTGGAATATATTGTTAACGCTATTCAGGGTATAACCTCATCGTGATAGTAGTGGCAGATTGAAGGTATCTCTACAAACTTTAACGTAACTTAGTTAGTTGTTGGATAGCTAACTATATAAAAAAAAAAGTGCGTGCGTACAAAGTACACATATCAGCATTTGGCAAACTAATTTTAACTTTTGTTCATATTTATACAAATCTAAATCTTTATATTTCCGAGACTTAGAGGGAGGGAAAAAGGAAGATATGTTAGGAATTTAATGATTTCAATTGTCATTAAAATATTAAAAGTACTGAAAATTAATACAAATAATTAATTAAATTTTTTAAATTTATTTCTTCGAAAAAAAACACGTGGCATTTTAATTAACAACTCGATTGAGTTATTTGAGATTTCAATAGGTAAATTATTTTGCATTAAATATAAAATACTAATATTTTATAAATTCTCTTTACGAAATTTTAATTTTAAAATTAGAATTTCTATAAGGTAATTCACCCTTCTCACTCTCTCTCAATCGGTCTCAATCGCTCTCTCCCTTTTCTTCGACAAAAACGATGCACATCTTCGTCACGTTTTTAAAAATTTTACCCTCATGCGCCTAAAAAAGTTTCACTTCAATAAATACATTTATAGCAGTCGTAGACATTGAACTGTACTTGGAATAAAAGGAATAGTTGAGAAAGATTGGAAAATGGTGGCGAGAATGAGAGACATGTGGTAGAATTTGGAGGAGGGTTTTACTCCGTCGGAGGTCGTGTACTAATGTAAATAATGACATGGACTTGATTGGAATGCAATCCTGATTTTGTAGTAGGTACTCGAATACAGACTTTTTTAATTTTAATTTTAAAATCTCATTATATCACCACATTCTAGTAATTTTTCGTTTCCAGCTTTCTATCAGACTTTGTGTAGACTCGAATCCGGATATTTGAAAAGAAAAAATCCAATTATAATTTTTAAACTAAAGCCTTAATCTAATTCTTTACTCTATGTCTTAGTATCTAGGCTAGACTGCGCACAGCCTAACTGCAGTCACTTAGATTTGAAAACATACAGTACTAAATCTTGAGAAAATCGGTAACTAACTTATTTAAATTATACTGGTTGGTGGTTTATTTAGCCTGAAGGCGTAAACTTCCTTGAAACAAGATACAAATTGTGCGTGTGTGTAAAGTGTTTTAAAAATATAATTGATTTGAAATGGAATGAAAGTTTCGTTTTTAAAACAATCTATCTATCTCTAATCAACAACACAGCTGATCTTGATTTCTTAATTGTCATCCTTTTGACGAACAAAGGACCATTGATACTCAACAATAATTTTAATCAGTCTAGGTGTCTTGGAGTTATGTGCTATGTTCCCCACATAAAAATACACATATATATGATAACAGTAGAATAATATTAACAGAAATAGATATCACAAATTCAAAACTTCCTTTTTAATAGCTTAAATGTACTTAGAGTGTTAAATAAAGATAAAATGTTATCAATCTAGGTGCAAAGCATTTAGTTATTCGATTAGTAATGCCACCAATTTGAATAAATCCTATATGTTCCTAATGATAGACCGTCTTACAATGTTTACTAAAATCCTAAGATATAATGATAAGAATCAGACTATATTATTTTTTGAACGGCAGTTTTTTACGTACTGAATGCACCTATGTTTCATGTCCGACTTGGCTCGATACGGCTTTGGCCAGTAATATTCGTATCTTGGTACAATAATAGCAGCTGATACCCATTTACATCGCCTCTGGGCTAGACGAGTGCAATTTATGTGATATATGACTAAGTATTTATCTAAATAGTGAAATTACCCGAACGAAATGCCAGCTATGTTTAAAAGCAAAGATGGAGAAAGGAGCTTTCTTATGTCAGATACATCTTTGCGTGTTGTTCCCACGAGAATTTATATTCTTACGCACTTAGGTGCGTGCTCCTATTACAGCATGCCTACTCCTGAGAGGATAAAATAGAGGATAAATCTTTGTTTTTAATTTTATTTTATTGTAAGTTAACTATTAATTACTTAAGATGTCATGTGGAATATGGAGTAATGGTTGCAGCTCCTTACAAACATTATGGAAAAAAAAGCTTGGCGATTAAAAAGAGTGGCGGAGAGTTCATAGCCAGTTCTTCTCGTCCGTTCTACGCCCTTCACTTAACTTAACTCAAAATAACTTTATTCACATAGGTAAACAAGTACACTTATGAACGTCAACAGACAGATGATAATGAGACTTGATTTGAGAACTGGCAGTAAATGTAAAATTAGAAGCATTTAGCATTTAAATGTATATTGTATTACCTAAATGAATAAATTATTATGAATATGAATTTGATTATTTAGAATGATCCTAAGCGTACGAATTTGTATTAAATTATAACCTAAAGAATATAACAACAACAATTTTCAAAACTCCGCAAACAGACGGACTCAAAGTTGCCGTCAAGAGCTTTTTCTTTATGAGCGATACAACGATTGCGGTCATAAAATGTTTCGATACATTTCATTTAATTTATATTGTACGATTAGTAGCCTCAAAGTAGGCTTCAGTTTCAGCGCTTACCTCTTCATCAGCGCAAAATTTCTGTCCAGCGAGCATTCAGGTACAGGATAAAGTTGCTAGGGGCCAAATCATGAGAATACAGTGAAAGCAATTCGAAGCTCAATTTATTTAAAATTTCTATTCATATCGTTTTCTTTGACTTGTGACACGGTGTTAACTGTGAAGATATAATAATGATATGGAATAAATAAGTAAATAAAAAATAAATAATTTGAAAAAGAAAGTGCTGTTTTGTCAATTGTTATTGGTGTTTTTTATTTACTTATTTATTCCACATCATTATTATACCTTCACAGTTACTACTGATTCGAAAGAACGACATATTTATACCCACACCGATTATCCTACATAAAAAAACATTAAAAAATATATGTACATACCTATATCTTATAACTAAAAATATAGCAAGCAAACCTCATGAAATTGGTTATATTAAGTAGGTTCTTAAAGTAAGATTCAGTATATAGTGTGTAGATATATTTTGGCATACGAAAGTTCATGCTAAACATCGACTAACAGAAACATTAAAATAATAATTCATATATCACTGCAATAAATAAATCCCAACAAAGCAAAGTAACTGCCGTTTAATTTCATATATAGTTTAAAGGCACGTCAGCATTGCAGTATTCGAAAGGCCTTGTCCGGAGAAAACGGGTCAAGAACTATGAGATTAGTACAAAACATGATGGTATCATCTATTGTTGGAAACAGGACCAACCTTATTCCAAAAGGGTTTATTTTGTATTATGCCAATTTTTAGATTTCAATTATTACTTTGCTGATGTTTTTATAAGTCACTAGCTGACCGCAAACGTTGTTTTGCCGTGTTTATTATTTCTAGGAAATCTTTTTTTAGTTCAATAAAAATAACTATCTACTATAATAGAAATATTGATCGTAGCGGGGTGAAAATTAAGGGTTGTATGTATTTTTGTATGCTGTATCATAAAAACATTTAGGGGAATGAGAAATAAATTTCACGAAAATCGGTCAAGCCATTTCGGAGAAGCTTAGTTACAAAATCCACGACACGTGAATTTTATATATAAGTCATTAACGCTTAAATCTTAAAGGCGTTGTTAGCAGGCTAGACTTGGAGACTCCGTGCCTTCGTAGCGTCTGTCCAATTAATTGTTCTATGTGCAATTAATAATATATAATTAAACACACATATAACTATTATGGTTAAGAACTCATACGGTGAAGAGAATATGTTTAAAACAACATATCCAGCCCTGCGATTCTGTAACTCACTTTTTGAACTCACACAGCGGTTTTCGCATCGGCGGTCGCTCTGAAATCAGTCGTGAAGCAGTCATTTTATGATTTGGCATTCTGATAAACAATAAACTACAAGCTCGCACCTTTTCAGAATGCCAAATCATAAAATGACTGCTTCACGACTGATTTGAGAGCGACCGCCGATGCGAAAACCGCTGTGTGAGTTACAGAATCGCAGGGCAGAAACCAAACTCTACTGTTTTGGTTAAAGAGTATCCTCCTTAGGCATGGATCATTTTGACAACGTAAGGCGCTCTATATAATAATTATTTACTTAAAAGATAGTAAAGTGATCTTCATAGAAATAGCTATCGATAATTTGGGTTATAGTTATACGTAAGAAACGTATTAAGTAACAATCTCCATTGGCAAGAATGAGAATGCGTATACAATTTTTCATACTTAAAAAGTCTTTCCGATACAAATGTATTTGGTTCAGTTCAATCGTTATACATCTAGTTGTTCATGGCGTTACACGCAGTGGACTTGTTTTGGCTCGAATCTTATTTAAGCTACTCTGGCAATATTCCAGCTATTCACAGCCTTGCTCTACATAGTTGTATAGTATCTTATGTAAAGTAAGGAGGGGTCAAGTTAAAGATACCTGAAGATGGGTCCTTTTCCACAGATAAATATATATTTAATTAATATACGGGTGCAACAATACAATTAATCTTAATATATATAAATTACGTGTCACGTTGTTTGTCCGCTATGGACTCCTAAACTACCGAACCGATATCAATCAAATTTGCACACCGTGTGTAGGTTGATCCAACTTAAAAGATAGGATAGCTTACATATAAATTTATACACGCAATATTATTTTATTGCAAAATATTTGTTTATTATTTGATATTTACAATTCTAACAGATGGCGCTGTGTTGAAAGTACCAACGTTTCACGTAAGCTACAATTTAATGGCATAACCACCAAATTAGCATGGTGGTCCCCATGACTGGTGTTCTCCTACCGTTTCCCTTGAATAGTTTGCTACTATGTAATATAATAAAAACCTTAGCCACAGCAACGCTTGGCCGCTCTGCTAGTTTATTATAAATATAAATTTGTTAATAATTTCAGTCCAAAGCCAGTCAGCCAATCAGTGCAAAAGATAAGACCGTGTTCACTATACGTGTTTTGTTGCGATGTATCTTTTAATTTTCATATCATTATTAATTGGAAGTAACTGCCAATCTTTAATTAATTCATATTTTTTTTCTATCAGTCCATTTTACCAGTTACATGAATTGAACACTCCACCTAAAAACAAAGAGTGCTGTGGGGAAGACCGAACTCGACTCCTTGTAAGAGATCTGGAACCTGAAAATGAAATTGTAAGAACATTATCTACACCCGATTTTGACTTACGAGAAGTCTACAGATACAATGGATATGAGCTCAAATATAAATTTAAGGAGATCATTCAGGATTCTTCACAATTGGAAGTTAATTGTCGAGCTGTCTGTGTGATTTTAAAATTAGAATCTGGTAAAGGTGTACAAAGTTATAGAATTTTACCAGAGGGCATGCGTATAAATGATGCTGTGTGGAGAGTAGATGATGATGAACTAGTTGTAAACATTCCGTACGAACATAGAAACATAGAAATACCCGAATCCTGCCCTAAAGATAGCTTAAATCCCATGGATTTAGGAACACCTTTTAGTCCAGACTATCGTATGTACTGGTTACATCGATATGGTATTAATTTGGACAAGGAAAAAGCACACAAAGATATAAATAGTTTTGAATAAACATTAACTTTCCACCAACCAAAAGTTTCCTGTGCCTGGATCAATGAATTGCACAGACCAATTAAATTGCAGACAAATTATTCTTAAAGCAATCATAAAGGTCAAAACTACAAATTGATAAGATTTCATGAATGTTATGTTCGCTGCCATATCAGTAAGTTACTTAGACTCGTAACAATGTTTTGCTTAATTTGTTTGGCTTTGATCGTTTCGGTTGAATGTGGCTTTCATTACCCTTTGAATAACGGGTTCAAATTAGCTGACAATGGGTATCATAAAGCTGTAAAGGAACAAAAAGACTATGGAGAAGCTAAAACTGTGATTAACAATATACAGGCTGCCAACGATTTAGTAAGTGAATTTTGCACAGACAATTACAATGTGAGAGAAATATACGATGATGAAGTGTATAGAATTAAATACAAGTTTCAAAATGATATAGAAGATTATATTACTGTTAAGATTAACCATAGAGTAGTTTATGTTGTTTTAAAAATGAAAAACGGCAGTGAAGTTAAAGACATTCGCATTATCCCTCAAGATTTAGAAGCAACAAATGCCAATTGGAAAATTGACCGTGAACATCTTATCGTTACTATTCCTTATAAAAATGAAAGAAATATTGAAGTATCGTGTGGAAAAAATAAACAAAACCCAAAGCTTGTAGAAGTCCCATTAAGTCCGGATTATAGAGTTTCTGGGTATTATTATCGTTACAGATAAAATAAATATTAGGGGTGAGTATTTTCACAAAGTTATAACACATACATTTAATATGTAAATAAAAGTATGTAAGCATTCTATTCTATCATATAAAAAGACGATATATACAACTAATTGATACCCTCAAGAAGGTCGCAATTGATAACACCCAGTACAACAAACATTTTCCTATCGTCTCAGTTTTACTATAACCATGACGATGACGCTTCGTTTATTTCTTTTTGCTTTAATTGTTTCTACTGAATGTGGCTATCACAATTTTATGTTTGGTTACAAAAACAAATACAAAGGATATAAAAAATATTCCAAAGAACATTGCTGCCCAGATGATCCAGGCTACAACGTTATTAAGCATTTGGAATTAGCCGACAAATTATTAAAAACAAAGTGCACTAATTACCATAGCGTTCAAGAGGTGTATGAAAATGATGTTTATAGAGTTAAATATAAATTCAAAAGAAACATAGAAGATTTTATACAGGTAAAAATCAACTACAGGGTAATTTACGTGATAATAAATGAAGTGTCAAGTGAAATAAAAGACATAAGAGTGATTCCACCAGGTCTTCAAACGAAAAATGCTACTTGGAGATTAGATAGTGATCTCCTTATTGTAAATATACCGTATAAATTTGAAAGGTTGACTGAAATACAAGCGGATTGCAAAGAAGAAAGAAAATATAGTTTTTTGGCTGAATATCTTGGATATTTGTGAAAAAATTATATTTGTTATGTAAATTGGCTTTTATTTAGAATGTGTGTTATGTGTAATTTTGATACGAAGTTGTTAGGACTACAGATCGTATTTAAGAATTAAAATTAAGGATTAAGATAAGATTTATTTGACAAATAAATCAATATTATAGTAGCTACGTAAATTTTATGGTATTTGTGTTAAATGTAGAAATGTATTAATTAATAACTAAAAAAACATAACTAAAAAAATATTTACTGGTTTTAAGCCACTCTTTCTGTTTAATGTTAACAATGATAATACAAGGAAAATATGAATATAAAATGCCTCTCTCAAGAGGAAAATTAGTTTCGCATATAATATAAGCTTCTTTCTTCTTCTACACCTTTCTTTTCTGCGCAATTTATACGCGTGAGTCATACAGAAAAATTGTCCCATATCGTTACCTCAAATTAAAAACCGTATTTTTAAAAATTTAAATTGCCTGACACCCTTATTCCTACGCCGTAAGATCCAAATTTCCCGTCGGCTTATTGAAAATGATGGCTCATCATCGGGAAACCCAGACAGAGGCAGACGGCGACAGTTTTCGTCATTCGTTATACACTCCTCATGCATTGCGCTTTAACAGCAGTGCGCATGCCTTCTGTTCCTTTCTATGTCTCCCTCTAACGCATAGCATTTCAATATCTATCCCATTCACTCCCGGGAGGGTCGATATATACGCTAGCTTCTAGGTACGCGTACATTGCCGTAGCCATACTAGTACGCAGGTTCGGAGCGACTAGAACATACGTCTAAGCAGTCGGATCCGGGAACGCAACACCGCGGCCGCAATGATGTCGCGTGCCGTGCTATTTATTAGTGTTTTTACCATAATATTGGAAGCTCTCAATGCTAGCCAGGTAAGATAAGATTAAATAGAATATAAAAAAAAACATAAAGCTGTATTATATATGTATAATCAATACGTAATATGTAAAATTGACCGGCGGAAAACGCGATACCATAAAAGTTTTTTAGTCAGTGACGATTACTGGGTTTCGCTAAATGGTAAATAGATTGCGTAATTATTTAATTAGTACTTTCAACTAATTTAAATTATTAAATCGTATAGTAGTAGACGAAATATAATAGGTTATTTTATTCTTCATAACTTGTATGTTAGAATAAATTAGCGATTGTATGACGTAAGAAAATACGCATTGTGACGTGAAGTAAGCACTCCCTTTCTTTTGAAAAACTTTTAGGCAAAGTAATATTCCTTTTCAATGAAGAATATTTTTAGTAACTCATGTTCAATATTTTAGAATTATATATGTTCTGCACTGCTAATGTGGTGTGGACAGATAAAGCTCTATTATTATGGCGTTCTTTTAATATTTAAATGAATGTTCTATAAAAAGATAACAAATCTTGCGCAGTTGGGGCGGGTCCGATCACTATACACTTTTTAATTGGAATTATTATTTTTGAATAAAGCTAATATATTCAAGCTTTCTACTTGAATAAGTTGAAGCTTTTCAATGCGGTTTAAAATCAAAATTCAAATCGTACTTCAAAAGAGGATTATTAAAGGCGGATTTAATAGCAATATTCCTTTTGCAATCGTTATTAGATTTGAAGTGGGCCGGGGTATGCAAATCAGGGTGCTCGCACCTGATGTAGATTAAGCTTTCGAGAACCCGAGGTTTAATATATTAATTTAAAATCCGTTCTATGTATGCAATTTAACAGTGCCTTTGATACATTATTACGGCGTCACATTTACATGTATAAACAATTAAAAATATGGAAAATTTAAAAAATGCAGAAAATAATTATTAATTTAAAAAATCTTTGTTTAATTTAATTAGTTAATATTTTTAATTGTAAGTTTGAGACCAGTATAAGCCAGTACAGCACATGATGTTTTACAAATGCGATCAATCCCGAAAAGTACATATAAAAAATAAAAAAATAAATTGTAAAAAAATATATATATATGGCTTTTCTAAACTTAGAATATCACTTAAATATAATTCTTATGTCATATAAGTAACAATAATTTAAAACTGAAAATTTCCTTTATTAAAAGATTTGAAATGCAGATATATTAAATAATATGTCTTTTTCTATCATCCTGGAGAGAGAAAGCACTCGAAGTATAGCATTGGAGGCTGAAAAGGCCCCATTTATTTTTTGCTTTCAAATATAATATAGTAATATATATATTATATATAGTAGAAATAATACTACGTAAGAAATTAATAATTCATAGTAAAGTAGCAGCAGCCAAGTACGGGTAAGTGAACCGAGTTTAAAAATAGCAAGTGATTGCATTTCTATCAAACTCAGATACCAGATGCACATTATAAATATACATACATGGAATTTTACATGATGAATTATTTACAGTACTTATAACAAACATTTATCATAATAGGTAATATAACACTTATGAACGCCAATAAAAAACAATCTTCTAAAGTTACAATTAAGTCCATCAGTTGATGGATTTTCCCTTATAGGTAATCAGACTTCTATATACACGAACATCTAATACATCGGCTCGCTCACACCGTTTTTCTTCACCGAATGACATTTATTTCGCATATAAAGAAAGTATTAATTAGGATTTATTAGATTAGTATTAATTAGATTAATTAGATGATTAAGAAATATCTGATCTTTTATTTATTACATTATGAAAGTATTGATTATCAACAGAATAATTGCACATCTGTTATAAAAATAAATGATGAAAAATTGATAATTTTTGTTATGTCAGGACAAAATTAAACCTGAAAGAACTTTAAAACACCCAATTATTTACGTGAAAAGAGAGTAAGTGAACGAGCAAGACTGTCCTCAGTCAAAGTAGTGGATAATCTAACAAAAAGCGTGAAACAGTACAACACAAAAATTACAAGTATTTTAACTCTTCCGGATTGGCGTCTGCGAGATAAGTGCATTGTCGCTTCTCATTCACCGTTTATCCAAACTAAATGGAAAGAAAATCGCATTACAGGCTTTCAGAATATAATCCTGTTTCTCAATAAAGAAAATCCAATTCGAGCAAAGCTTAATTGAGAATCGTGAAGAATTATTCGTTGAATTTAAATTAATTTTTCGATTGAACAGGTCTGTTTAGGTTTGGGTATTCAAAACGTTTCGTTTAAAGGCATTTATTTCAAATCAATACTTTTATATATGAATAAATAAATGAATAGAAGAAACTGCTCTTAGCAGTGCATCTTACATGTACATCTTCTGGCTTAATATTACCTGTTTTTGTGATTATTAAAGTGCATTTTTCATACATTTACCTCCAGCCAGACGTAGTTTGATCCTGAGTTCAAGCGAAACAATATTTGTGTCAAGCTTAGATACCCCATTCCCCAATATGGGATTACGCAATTTGAATAAGACACATTAAGAAAAAAATTCAGAGCTATAGTTAAAAAGTTATATAAATTTAAAAGTAATTGAAAGTTGAGCTTGTACCTATTCAACTGATTTAGTATGGTACTGGTGTTCATGCCAGTTTGACCCTTAAAAAATAAATAAATATAAACAATCGGTTGTTGAACTAGTGCCGCCCACTATAGCTTAATAGACGCATGCGTTGGAGTGGAATCATGATAGCAAGTTCTGTCCAGACTACTATGGAAATATTTGCATACAACATCTAAGGGAATATTAAAACCTTATTTCTAGTGAAAGATCATAATTTCTAGAATAATCTACCTCACGTATGGTATAGCATGGTATTTAGTTTTTCACATGAAAAACCGTGATTTCTATGGACGTGAAATCAAAAGGTTAAGTAAATTTAATAAAATTTAATATGCTATTTAACTATTTCAAAAATAAACAACAGTAATATCTTTTGCTAATATAATACTCACCGATAAAATAACTCTCGAATTGTAAGAGGATACACACGCAAAGGATTACACTATATTATTATTATTTCGACGAATGGTCGTAAAAGACCGTACCAATTCTTTAAGGCCGGAAACGCACTCGCGAGCCCTCTGGCATTAAGAGTGTCCATGGGCGGCGGTATTACTTAACATCAGGTGAGCCTCCTGCCCGTTTACCCCCTGTTCTATAAAAAAAATAGTGACTCATTGGGCTATTATTACTGTCATGAACCAAATAAGTAAGATTTAACGCTTTTGCAATTTTTTAAAATTGAAATATCTGCAATTTCAGTTGTTTTGTAATTATACGGTATAAATGAAATATCAAAAACTAATTTAAATAATAGAATTCCTTTGTGAATATTTGACGCGTTGAGACCGTTGATGTTATTAAAGGATTTAATCTAATCTCATAAAGTCACGTGTACGAACATTTCTGCAAGTCTAAATATAGCTGGGTAATGCTAATGTTGTTTGACCAGCTGTATATTTTCTACAATATTCTACAATTAACACAACACAGAAAATTCTTGAAGTTAAGAAGAGAAATTGACTACGGAAACTCTGTTTTACAGTACAACAGAAAGAGAAAAACAGAGTTTCCAGAAACAAATCTGCTAGTTGAATTTGCAAATGGGCCGACAGAAGTATTGCTAATGTTATATCTGTCTGAAATGTTTATATTATTATTATGTATTAGTAACATTGTTAACAATCAATACGGCTTTAAATATCGGAGTTATACTTAGCGCTGTCTTGACTCCCAATTCAAGCTATAGACAATAGAAATACTTCGAAAGCGAACGAATTAAAACAACTTCTATAATTTTCATTAATATTCTCACAACTGTTAGAAATTACTTTAAATTGTGTACACACACCACATGAACATGATAAAAACATTAACCCACTCGCCCACACATACACACACACACACACACACACACGCACACACACAGAGACAAACACACGCGCGCGCGCAAAACTTTCACAAAAAAAAATTGCAATGTTTTCTTTTAGCACTTACCTTTTCTTCTATTGTATCTTATGACATTGACCTGATTGTACGTGTTCCGGTCCGGTGGTGGAGAGGCTGGCTATCTGTCACTCAGG